GTGTATGTGAAAATAATGTGTGAATTAGTAGCATGTGAAATTCTAGATGTTTTGCCATTCATTGAGGATTAAGTACATGTGAAAGCCCATGTGAAACCCCATGTGAAGTGTATGAAAATATGTGTGAATTTAAATGAGGATTTACATGTGAAAGCCTGTGTGAAACCGCATGTGAAGTGTATGTGAAAATATGTGTGAAAGGGATGACGTCGCTTCACACCCTTTTCACATATATTTCACTATGCAAAATTTCACATGCACGTGAAATATGTGTGTGAAATGCATGTGAAAAGTGTGTGAAAAACGTGTGAAAAATGTGTGAAAAGAGTGTGAAAATAGGACATTTTTCACACATTTTTCACATGGTGTTTCACATACATACTCCTAGTAGTGTAGTATTTCTTAATGTTCTCTCATTTTAATATTTTTGGTTTCCATTGCTTTATTACTGAAGTGATGGGCTGATTGTAGTTGAAGGTTGTCCTAAACTTTGTGGCGCAAACTGAGTTGAAAGTTGCTTGAAATTTAGTGCCGTAGCCATCATTTGTTTCTAGACAATTTTAGACATTCCAAGACCTTTCATCGGGAGAAATCACTTCCATAAAAAATAGTGTTGAGAAAGTCTAGTTTCGAGCTAAGAATGTCTAGCTGTCAAAATGTCTAGATGTCTAGCATTTAGCTCAAAATATTAACTGTTCCAAGACTTTTCTTTGAAAAAAGCCGCCAGACCTAGAATAGACTTTTCGAAGACATTTCAGATCTAGTCGTCAACACAATTTTTAGATCTAGCCGTTTCATGCGGGAAGAATCCCTGCAAAGTGTAATAACATAGACGCAAAATGGTATTAAAAATTTGAATGTAAAATGTAATAATCTTTGAATACAAATTGTAATAATTTTTCTAATGCATGATGTAATGATGAAAAATGTAACAATTTCCGAATAACAACATGCATGCTATTTCAAAATCAGTCGTGTGGCTCTGTCATGGCAGCGAATCCAGATCTTCAATTAAATTACTAGCTATTATTATTGATACTAATATTAATATCAATGATAGTATTATTGCTAGTGTTACAATGAAACAGTTGAAATGAGGAGATGTAATCAGCTTTAGGAAACCGAAGCGGACGTTTGTTTCCACTGATTTGAGTGTAATACAGGTCCCAATACAGGAGCAATATATTATGTAGCTCTAACTCCTATTGAATTATTGCACATTTTCTGTTCGATGTCCAAAGCTGCAAAAGACAGAATAGTTAGATTGAAAATTCAGGAAAGGTTTCTAGAGATGAAATGGCTGACTACTGGTGTGGGTTTTTCCCTGACTACTCAAACAAATAAAACGTGCCTGATACAATTTGTATTTCATAAACAAAGCCATATGAGTAGCTATGAAATTTTCGTTGAACATTAGTTCAGGGTTCAAGGGTAGGGCTAATTTAACGTGAGTTATGTACATACAGAACCAGAACACCATTATCACCACCATCTTCAAAGTAAGGAACGCAACAATAACCATTTTTATTCGCCGACACTTAAGAATCAATCATAAAATACATTAAACCATGCAACTCAAGGCTTTCATACGGCAGAAATATATCCTGTTCACAGCATCACATTTCCCCCCATACAACACAAGATGGTTAGCGAAAAAAGGGAAATAGCGTATAATATGATAATATTGTTAGATAGGAAAACAGAAACAGTGATAAAATATGAACGGACGAGTTGTAACCTCAAATGACTTTAATGGTGGCTTTTTTGTTTCTAGTAGATATGTGTAATAAAGAACCATCCATACCATGCCGCGATGAAACTTAGCCACGTGCTGACCCAATGAACAGAGTTAATTATCTCTCATAACCTAATAACAGCACTGCAATTTTTTCCTTTCGAACACATAATTTTGCGCACATTCACTCGGCGAATATCTGTGAAGTCATTTAGTTCTGGGATGTACACCTGGGGTAGTGGCTCTCAGTGTACAATATTTTAAAAAGTGTCGAGACAGCTCTCAATGAAGGGTGCGTATAAGGATGCATTCATAATGTTTATTGCATAACTTCTTCCAGAATGTCTGGGTTTAAACACGGCCCTGCCGATGATGAGAGAGAGTTTGGTTGGTTATTGGGATTAAACCCGTGACTTTACGCATGATCACCGTTTTCAGGGTGTTACCTGTTTTCACACGCATTATCACTGTTGTCAGGTTGTGGCCTGTTCTCACATGTATGACCACCGTTTTTAGGGTGTGGCCTGTTTTGACATGCATGACTACTGTCTTCAGGGTTTGGTCTGTTTTCACTAGCGTGGTCACCGTTTCCAGGATTTAGCCTGTTCCCATGGTCATGATCATCTTTTCCACGGTTTGGTCCTTTGTCACACGTATGTTCATCATTCTCCTCGTTTCATGCTTCCTGGCAACCTTGATCAGTTTCTTGTGTTGCATTGTATGACAAAGATGTACCAACAACTGGAGCACCGTCTAAGTCTTGAGAAGGATTACTTTGAAGGTCTGCGAAACACTCAGCCTCAATATTTATTTCACTAGAATTATATTCTTCTGGTAAGCAAACATAGCGTTCTCCATCATTCTCTGTAAAATGCCCCAAGGTGATAGTACATAGCAGATTTACCACGGTTGGAGAAACAGTAGCTATATACCCAGGTCCATTAGATGAAAGAACTTGGAACTCCACATTGTAAAGATGAGATGCAGCCTGAAGCATGATGTGGTCACCAAACGTACCATTTTAAGACATGGAAGACAGATATACTCTCACACTGGTTAGGGAACTAAAGGCCAATTTACGCAGAACAACTTTATCGCATATGGTGCATGTTTACAATAACCGTACCGCATAAGTTGTATTGTGTAATTTACATGCTACGTTTCAGGGTAGTGAGGTACTGGACGTAGAAAATGCTTCGCTTCAGTTTGGGAGAATGACAGCCTCCCACACAGTTATTAGGGCCTTGTCACACATTCCTTCCCCACGAAAGCCCTAAGGACATCTGCGTTGGAGGCTACCAGAATGGGTACAAGAACAAGNTGGTTAGGGAACTAAAGGCCAATTTACGCAGAACAACTTTATCGCATATGGTGCATGTTTACAATAACCGTACCGCATAAGTTGTATTGTGTAATTTACATGCTACGTTTCAGGGTAGTGAGGTACTGGACGTAGAAAATGCTTCGCTTCAGTTTGGGAGAATGACAGCCTCCCACACAGTTATTAGGGCCTTGTCACACATTCCTTCCCCACGAAAGCCCTAAGGACATCTGCGTTGGAGGCTACCAGAATGGGTACAAGAACAAGTTTTCTCAAACTACCTTGAGTGCTTCGATCTATAACATTGTGGAAATAAGGGAGGAAATTTATGCTAAGAAAATGTTTTCTCTCTCCAGTAAGTTTTGGTAAATATCCTCAATTAACCAATCAGCTCAGGCACAGTATCTTGTTTAGTTTTTACATAACACAATACAAAGTTACCAATAAGAGCCTGGATGATGACTGATATTATAGGCTGAGAGCCAGCTCCATTTTTACTTTTTCATTTCATGCTTCAGAGACTTTGACTCCTGCTTCAGGTCTGAGATATCGACATTTTCATTGAATGAAACAGTTTCAATTTGGTGGTTTTCTTTCTGCACTTTCTAGAAGTTAATAGAGAAACAAGAAATAAC